ATCACATCTCAATGCATTGCTTGTCATGTGTATAATGATAATTACAAGTCTCCACTGACTTTGGAATTTTCTTAACATATCAAAAACTTTCGATAATATAGGAGAATTTTAAATATTTAAGAGCGTCCTCGGAGGACACAATTTTTTTAACGAAAAAGGCGGACAAATCCTCCAAAAGGAGGACGTATGGTCACCCTACTTAGCATGATTTATGCTTTCAATATAACAGCGCTTCCCAAACTGTGTTCCGCTCAACACTAATGTTCCGCGAGCATCTTCCAAGTGTTGCTCGGAAAAGGAATCAAAAAGACATCTAAATTGGTCGCCATGGCGATCTGAGAATCATGAAGTTGTTGCCTAACTGACCGTTTAAACCGCGTCAACTTCGGCCTAAAGTGGTCCAACTAAGTTAGGGTAGTGGCATTTTCGTTAACCGTCGGTTTAGCTTTTTGACTGGTAATTTCATTATCAAATTTACAGTACTTTTTTTGGTTTTGTTAAAGACAAACAAGTAAGTCTAAAGCAGTGTTTCCCAACCCGAGTCCGCGGTCTCAAATGAGTCCGCGGAGTGTTTGAATGAGTCCGCAACGTGCCAGAAATTCTGCGGGCCGCAAACGTTTTTGCGAAACTGAACAATCAGCCAAGTTACCAGTTACGTTAAAATTTACATAAAACGTCACAACCGTGACAACAAAAAAACTATCAATTTTTTATTTCTTATAAAGTGTTGCCCTGTTCGTCTTCTGATCAGTGTTTGCATAATTGAATCGATTTATTTAAAGTTATTACCTGATTCTGTATCGCGTATTTTTATTTTATTGTGTTATTTGACTGTGTTTGGTGGACGGGCGCGTATTTTTACGTTTTCAACTTTGTCTTTAGGTTCAGATCCTCTGTGTTTTGTTTGTTCGTTTGTTTTGTTTTATACCAGAGCGACCAAAATAAAATTGATTGAAAACATAAAAAGCAAGTTATTTCGCATATCATTATCGAGTCAATAATTACTGGTTATTGAGTGGGGCTGGTAATATATTCGAATATTCAACTATTAGAATAAGAATTAACTATGCGAAAATTTGGTAACAGGTGACGCAAACAGGTCACTTGCGCGTCGCTTAATCAAACGATCGGATTTCACAGCTCACTGGCAAGTTTCCGACGAAAACACGAGTCTGTACATGCTTCTACCAAGTGGTGTTTCTCGCGGGTTCGAACAACGAGGAATAATTTTTTTTTCTGATAAGTGTCAATGGTGGCAACCCAAATTTTCTAATTTAAAAAGCGGCAATAACAAAAATAAAACCGACCGATTGAAATCGCTTTTTTAGACATTGCAAATCGCAAAATTTCTGGTGCGACCGTAGTATAGGAGCATTTTTCCTTACGTTTCTTTGCTTTATTGCCTTCCTATTAGTACGTACAGTGGTACTGGAGTTTCATAAGCGTTGTACGAACAGATCAGATTTGTCGAATTCACAAAAATACGAACCAAAACAAAATATAATCGGGCACTTCACCACGCATTTTTGTGTCCACGGATTGCCATGATATTTTCTGAGTATTATTGATTTTATTTCGTCAACACAACCGCAGAATAATATGATCCCAATTAAATTAGAAATAAAGCAATGCGATGATTATGTATTTTTGATTTACTAATAGAATTTAAATAATAATTTTTATAAGTACTGAATCAAGTGATACTTCAAATTCTCGTCATTGTCATTTTAAATTCTCGTCATTGTCACGGATTGAATATTGTGCGACAGAAATAGCCATCATACACTAAAAAATTCGGCTCTTTTAACAAACGCGTAATAGCGCAAATTTCCGATTTCGAAATTCGTTACGGTTGTAATAAACGCACCTTGAGTCCGCAAAGGTTTTCACCGGTGAGAAAATAGTCCGCGACCAAAAATGGTTGGGAAACGCTGGTCTAAAGAATAAAGGCAAAAGGTCAACCGTTCTTCCTCCATCTCTACCTGGTTTTACTTCGAAACGCTGGAAGTTTGTCGCGCATTTTCAACTCGCCACGGCGAAACCATTGGGAACCCCTACATTGCATCGTTTTTCTTTATCAATTTAACCCTTTAATTTTTGGTGTTCCGCGAGGTGATATAAAAAGTGTTCCGTGGCCGAAAAAGGAAACTCTGTAATATAAGATATAGTCACGTAGGGCAAAACAAAATATTTTATCATCTATCCCCTGAAATGAATATGCGATGCGTTAACCTACCAGTACCATACCTGTAGGCCTGATATTCGATCGCGGGACCGCCTGGAATAATTTTAAAACAGTATTCCATGATTTTTGACGTCACAATCACTAACGCTTAGTTTTATCTCGATACGTTCATCACTGTCCATTGGCTAAATGCTTGATTGGAACATCAGCGCAACAGTTATCAAAAGATGGAATTTTATAATTTCGCACATTCCTAAACATGTGGTTGGAAGTGAAGTTTCAGTAAACAGAAAGGTTGGTGATGAGCACAGACAATTTCAAAAAACTGGGAAACGCAATATATTTCTTTCTTGAGCATAGGAGCATCCCGACATGTTTTATCTGCACAGTTAAAGTTGCAGTGCACAAGGAATAAAATTTAAACAAGTTGCTAAGCTTTTATTGTGAAAAACCTGATGCGGCCCGGACTCATCAAGACTCTGCATCAGCGGCCCCCAAGTAAATTGAGTTTGAGACCCCTGGACTAGATAAAACTGAAAGATTAGATCTCTTGATCGCCATTGGATTTCCGACCTTGGCGCGACCCATTTTTATACCTTTCGCGACCCATGTCTGGTACTTTAAGAATCACTGCCATGAGGGTAACAGATATTAATCGGAATGTCCAAGAAGCAACTAGAAGGCAATGTATAGTTTCCGTGAGCATCGATTTCCTCGTTTATTTCCGTAACAATTACAAATCAGCAATAAGTTAACAATGACGTGACAATTACAATTTATTCAGCCGCCCAATCAGATTTCAAGCGTGGTTGACAATTTTGATGGCGTCATTGAATTCGACAAACGAATTCTATAGAGCTCACAGACATTATAAAAAAAGTGATAGCCTTCTATCGAAAATACAATCTTCAACCACTGAAAATTTCAGAGCAATTTGGTACAGTAATTAAAAAGAAAAGCGATTAAAAATAACAAAAACGATCCACAGGCCCACTTCGAGTCTAATACTATCCACAACAACAACAACATAATAACAAAGCGAACCATAGGTCCACTTCATGTGCAATAAGATAATGCTTATTCGCCGGACGGCCGGAGCTATTAGGGTACTCTCGTAGTATGTGTACCAGGTTAGGCCATAATTTTATTCCTATTTTTCTTATTTTCGTTCTATTACGAATTCGAGGAATGTTTGTGTCAGCCAAGTGAATATACCCCCTGCCAGTGATGAACATTTTATTGCATTTGCATTCCTGTTGTTGAAATAAAATTATGTCATAGAAAGTCTAGTTTCTCTTGTAAAATTAGTTATTAACTTACGTTTTGTTACGTAATAATTCGTTTTACATTACGACAGACAAATAGTACAGCAGTAACGTGTAGTGGATTGTTCGCCGACCTTCGACCCCGTGAAAATTTATCCTGTGACATTCTAATAATACCATTTGTATTGAATTGGTATGAATATTCTTGTAATTTTAAACAGACATATTTCAGATAATGAATTCAAATTTCATTGTAGTTCTTTGGCTCTAACTTGGGACAGACAAAAATTTCTGACAGCATCCGTGTCGTGTTGTAAATAAGGATGCCAAGTATGAGTACTTACAAGTATTCGATTCTTATCCGATTCCTAAATTTTCGATTCCGATTCTCGATTCCGAATCTCGATTCCTCGACATATCTTACCGAAAACACATACCCACCTAAGCAATACCATATGAAATCAAACAAGAGCACGATGTGTAAATTTTGGACGGCCAAGAAGGCCGAAACTAAGGAGTATTCAATCTGGCACAGGAGACAAAATCGCACAAAAAAACGAATCCCTCAGAACCCACAGAGATTTGTAAAATAAATAAACGTTAAAGCCTTCTATCGAAATATTATATATATATAGTGAAGTTTGCGTCGTCGTAGCAACTCAGCATAGCAGTGAAGCAGTTTATACATATATGTGAAGAAATTTCCACCAAACTTTACACATTCTTTTCAATCCAAGTTTTAACCTCGAGAATCGATTCCAATGCATCGGAATCGATTCTAGTCGATTCCGCAAAGAATCGATTCTGTACTCGAATCCGGACTCGATTCCGCCATCCCTAGTTGTAAATATATATTGCATACACAAATTAGAAGCGTTCCGGTTGTTACGATTTTCGCAGCACATCACTGCCCATAGGCGTCCGTCTCTCTATTGGTACAAATACTTCTAGAGCGCCGAAATTAGAACGAGGACGTTCTTGAAATTAGGAGAAATTTATCCTAATTTAGAATCTTTGTTTGACCCTAGGGTTGGTCTTTCACTGCCTTGTTCTTGTCATCCTAGGTTTCACTCTTTTTACAATTGAAAACAATGGCCATCACTGCAGTCCGTGATAATAATTCGACAGATGGCGAGTAACTTACCTTCTGGTTAATAGAACACACTCAATCTTTTTAAGATTTCCAAAACAGTACAAAAAATAATTTTTTTCTCCAACATTCGAAACAAAAAGAGCTTTACTAATGTGTTGTAAGAACTAACGAATATATAAGGATAATGTAGAGCACAAGAGTAGTTGATATTGGTCAGATGGAATATTTTTGTATGCCTATGGTGACCTCTACTCCCACGCAATTGAACGACGGTACTTATTAGAACGTACAAATGGTATGTATTGGACAGTGAGCAATATAGTTTAAACTATTCTCTCGATAGAACAACTCTACCCGGCCGCAAAAGATTCCTGACAATATCTTGCTTGTTTGCGGGTAAGCACACAACTGTTCGGGATGCTCGAGTATATATTATAGATAGAACATTGACATCATAATTCATAGCACTAGGCAGCATGCAGTACAGCAAAAGAGGGAGCTCAACAGTGACATCAAGCAACACAATTGAGCATTAATAATGACGTCATAAACATTATCTTACATACTGTTACACCATGGTTACACATAAATTTGTAATTGGGGTTATAGGCTATTAGTGATCATTTTTATATACAAACGTCAATTTATGGAAAAAATAGGTCCAGTGGTAAATAAAATGCCAGCTCTCTGTAAGCAATTAGGTTCTTTTTCTTCGTCCATTTTGTTTACATAGTATTGTAATGTTTGTTTACAATGACTTCGTACGCGTACACGTTCCCGGTTTTGGATTTCTGCAGCCCAAACATTCAAATTTGCGTTTCGCAGCTTTGTCGCATTAAAAGAGAAATAGAAAAATAGTGATTATTTGTGTTACACTCACACCAAAAAATGAATTGAAAAAAATTAAATGACAAACATACTCGAAAAATCAGCACACGAGTAAAGGTAGTCATTTTTTGCTTTACTCCATCCACATAAGCGTGAGTCTGTCAAGCAATTGGATTTGCCAGCTGTTTGCAATAGTACTCCTAAATCACATTCCTAAATTCAGAGAATTACATATTCATGGAATCCAAAAGTGGCCATCACCCATGTAGTAAATTGAACAATGTGAAATATTAAAAATGTTTTCAGTTTGGCATGTCCACTCATCAAGCTTGTCCATGAGACACATTTTTCTATCCAATTCCATCTCATAAAAATTAATGCCATCTCCAATCCATTCCCGTATAAGGCTATAAGGAATCCCTCATCGGCGATCTTGAAACATTCACGAATTAACCGCTTGTATTTGCTAACTTAAATATTTTTGTATAAAGGTGATTTAAAACTCTAAAACTAGTTTCTATCTATCCCGAATTTTGCCGTTTTGGGAGATTGGGAAATATGTTAACATCTGGTTACGATATGAATTGACTTATAGTATCGCGAAAAAAAATAAAAATTTGGTTGACACTTGACGGCATAATGTATACTTGAATGTTACACTTCGAACGTCTAATAATGTCATTCTGTTTAATTCAGAACATGTATTCTACAGTACAATATAAAAATATTATGTATTTCTATTGATACGATCTTGTACATTATTGAAACTTCCTTTTATATTTACCTCGTACAAGTATTGCAAATAGCTTCCCCAAAGCTGATTAACAGCGTTTGTTATTTCACGAGATTTAACGTTTCTTGTTTGTCTTTTGAGTTGTTGAAGTAACGTTTCCGTTAAATTTTTCCAACATTTTATATCAATCTAAAGATTGTGAAAGGGACAAAACCTAATTAATGTTACTCACTTTCTCAAAATATGGTATCCTGATCTTGGCGCTCAGGAAATTCGTCTTAAATTGTGGATTATTTATTAACCTTGGGTTGAAGTGACTAAAGAAATATCTAGTACTTACACCAGCAGTCAACTAACAGTCGATGTGCGCTACTCCAACTACTCACCACTGCTACATCCTCATATGAATTTGGAACTCTGTTATTGTAATGTAGATAGACCTTAATATTCGCATAGGACGCTTGTAAATTTTTTAAAGGAGTTTTAAATAATCATTTATCAAACTTTTTGGTTTTCTGGTATTGGTTTATGGACGTCAGTACTCGAAGAAAATATTGCATGAAAACTCGCTGTATTGCGTGATTAATTCTCAGTGCCAGATTTATTTTTCTCACCCACGTTGGATCAAACTCTGATAGTTTGAATAAAAACGCTGCTTTTTCATTCTGGTCAAGTTCTTGTAGTTTTTCGTTAAATGTTTTTGGAGCTGGAGTCGGCAAAGTATCTGGATCAATTCCTTCTCCTTGATTTTCTCCAAACAATTCAAGAAGATAATCGACAGGATAATTACAGGCGGAAATATGTCCCTGAAATGAAAATAATGACACCGTGTCCGAAGTTTTTACTTATGGTATTATATGAAGAATTCAAAATGATGTATTATTCAACAGAAACAAAAAGTCACTATTCACATGAGTCCACACAAAAACTTTACCCGAAACTACAACTAAAGGCATCAGTAGAAATTTTATATTCAATTTTCATTCTGACACTATAGTAACTGCTTTATTTTGTAAGTGCATTATGTCTAGTTTGCGAGAAATAAATGCTTACAAAGTAATTGGCAAAATGATCGAACAAATTTTATTTTGCTTTTTCTTACCAAAAACATATCGACTATCCAGGCATTATGAAAACAGATGTCTGCAACAATTTTAAGATCAACACATTTATGACGATCTGGAATATTTAATTCAGGAAGCGCTGGGTTTTCGGTGTCGAATTCAAGAACATCCATCCACCCGGGTATATCGGACCTACTGAAAAGTTTAGGAGATACCATTAGTACAATATTGACAAGATGATAAATCTTTTTAATACCCGAATCATAGCTTTGCTTGATTTGTTTATCGTTGATAGAGTGGGAGCCAGTGTTCCCTCTAAAGTGTGCGCGTGTGCGCGCGCACAAACCTTTCAGAGGCTGCGCACACGCATAGATTTACTGCGCACAGACGTATTTCGATGTGATGTAACAATGTTCTCGGTTGGCAGGTTGAGAAAGGTTGTTGTTGGCCCACCCATTACCCGGTTAGAACGCCAAAATTTCTTCATTGGTTTTTGCACAAATATTAGTCATTTCCAAAAAAGTGCGCACACACCAAAATTTCTGCGCACACATACTACAAAAAATTAGAGGGACATTGGATCCAAAATTTTTCTCACCCCGAAGTCGGGGGTTGGGGTCAATCGAAAAAATTAACGGCTTTCAATGCCCGATGGCAACAGCGGGCTAATACAGCTTGTTTACAGTAAACTTTGTCACCCTTTGTTAGAAAGAATTCATAATAATGATAGCCAAGTACTTTAATACAAAAAATTGTCTACTTATTCTTGATGTTATTGGCAGTTACGTCTGATGGAAAAAAAGAATCGACAGGAAGAATGATCGGATTAATCATATCCTCAGCAAAGAACGGTTCAAAATCAGCAATCGTGATATCATGATCCCAGGATGGAGGATTAAAGCCATTTCCTCTGAAAGAAAGTATTTTACATCGACATTTCAGTATTTTTATTGACATGATTAGGCGTGAAATATCAATACCACACCCAGTGCCCTGCCTTGATAAATATCCAAATCAAATCTTTAATCCCGAAATGGCCTCATCGATTTATAGTTGCTCATTATCGTTCGAGTTAGCACGTATCAATGAGTGGCACCATCCATACTAAAGATGGATACTTTCATTCCTTCTGAGTATAGGGCTAGCTAGAAGACACCAACGAGAATACTACATGTAGTTTTACACTATATTTAACGTCTAGGAATTAGCTATGCTATATCACCAGATCAATGTTTCAACTTACACTAATTGACGTTTATCACTGGTTTTCGACAAAAACTTTGACGACGACCCAATGACGAGGCTATACGTTATCGAGTCGCTAATCACAAATACTGATAAATCCTAACCCGGGGCTAACACATATTACTTACTTGCATTTTGTCATCATGTAAGGGAGTACAGATTCTGACTTCGGAAAATTTACATCGTTTTGATATAAATAAGGAGAAGGAGCGAATCCTTTAGTGCATTTCACTTTGCATTTGGAGTTAATTTTATTCGCATTGGTGCATGACACAATATCCACAACTGTAGCATCGAGACGTTTACATCGAACGCCTAGAAACATTTTAGATTTTATCATAATCACACTGATATTATGGAAGATATGCATAAAAAGAATATAACGATTAAAGACCTTACTTTTCTTCGTGGAATACTTCAGCGTGAATGCTGATTTATTTTCAGGAAAGACAATTCTGAAAAATGTGAATTCATATCCAGGTAAAATAATCCGAATTGTCCCATTTTTTAGATCTTGCAGATGTTCATTATAGGAATATTTAGTTGTGTATTGTATATCATCTGTTTCCCCGTAAATAGCGACAAAGTTGTTCCAAGAGCTCTTCCTGTATTTCTTACCACCAATCTAAATTTGTCAGTAATCATGTTATATTCTTTTTCGTATTTCTGTGAAACCTATAGGGAGTAAAAAGTCCAAGCTCAACAATGAAATATGACCCGTTTGTCTGAATAACGAACATACATAGAAACTTCTCTAAGTTAGGTTGCGTTTTTAAATGCATAGTGCTGTTATAAGTTCGATCTTTAAAAATAAGTATAACAAAACTTAAGTCGACACTCCTGCAAATTTCTGTTAACGGTTTTATACTAAGATGTCTTATAGTACAGTATTCCTGTTATGCTATTCGATATCTCTCTATGAAATTCAAAATTTGAAAACTATAAAAAATCCAACCTGCGTTTGATTGTACCCGCTATTTTTTCAATTATATACCTATATAGTATAAGTCAAAAATCAGTTTATTTCAAATTTAAAGTAGTTCAGAAATCAAATTTGATTCCCATAAATTCGGAATGCGATATATATGTATTGCTCACTGACCGATGCCAAAAGTTGTGGCCGTACGAAATTTCATGCTTGTCCATGGGAATAAACGTACCATGGGATGGAATAGCACACATTTGTATTTACCATGGGTCACGTGGGACACGAAATCCGTATGATTTTCGGGGAAATGACGGTAAAACAATTTGTTATGGATTTTGTGTCCATATATTTGAGCATAGCTCTCTTGTCAGTTATAAAGAGCAAAATATATTCAGCATTAAACATATACTTCGTGAAGGGGCTGATGGACACATGTATAATAGTTATGAATATAAAGTTGACAAAGCGGTAAATTTTGTTGTTTTGCATGTCTATTCGTACATGTAGTCCTATTTAGTAGTCGCTAAACCCAAATTTAACAATTATTATTGATTTTCATTCCAATTGAAATCCCATGGGATGGGATGGGACAGGCATAACTGATATGGGATGGGAATGGGACAGAAAAATATGTCCCATGGACAAGCCTGGAAATTTTGCAAAAGATTAAGTTGATTTTCGAGGCAAAAATATACTTTTTTAAATTTTTTGTTTTTTAAGTCAAAGTTATTTTCGTGAATTACTTTAGAACAGAACAATCAGTTTCTTTTTTGGTAACATCGGATGCTCTGATACTGAAATTCACCGCCAAAAATCTTAGTACAGTTCATTTTAATCTGTCAATATGAAAAATTCTATATATATATATATGCTGTGTTTTACTCACGGACATCCAACTCTTTTGCCTTGGCGCTATATCAATCGTTAAATCTTTCGCGTGGGGTATTCTTCCATAGAGAAGACATGCACCGTTCATGTTTCGGTTCTCTGTAAAGAGTTTCAGATTTCTTCCGTTTGTTTTGAATCCAGGGTATGATATAACTCCTTTTTGGCCGGCCAAATTATGCAAGCATGGCGATATTTTTCCAGGTGCTGTAAAAATTTGTATAGTAATTACATAACAATTAGGCATATTTATTCTACCCATACGAAAGATGATGCACATAAAATACTCGAACATTTTGTGAAATAAAATATTCATACAGTTAACTTTATTCTGCAACAAAATGGGAGTTGATATTCCCAACAATATGCATTTCATTCAGTAGGGAATTCGAATTGATTAGATTTGTGTTTATATGTTTTGTACGTAATATGTAAAAAGTGTATTGATGGACGTAAATGAACGCTGCCTGTAAGAAATAATTATTGGGGAACTCATCCTCATACTGCCACAATCAATTTGATATATATGTAAATAAAAACTAATTCATTTGTTATTTTATACATATAAGCCACATACCTTCTGAGAATTAGAAGTATTTAGCAGAGAAACAATATCCCTAATGCATATATTCCGTGCATTCTTTTCACAGTATAAATTTGCTATTGCAGTATGAATGTAAACCAGAAGAACAACATCGAATATAGCATCAGAATACGCATATATATAGGCAGTGATAAATTTTAACATAATAATATCGCCCGAGGTCTTGATTTCTTCGAATTCTACATGTCTTGTGAATAGCGGTGTGGTTAAATACTGTTTTTATCTAATATACTTGCGTGGCAGTCATACGTGTGCCACTTACTTCTCAATAAAAGACGTTCATGAAATTAGGCTACAACACGCCCCGAAATTATGACTTTGATCACAGTTTTTGTGTAGAATAGATTTTTGGTAATGTCGACGACCATAGATAGTATCTGAATAAATAAATATTTGAGTCAACATTGTAATAGAACGCGCAAATTTGAAACCTCAAATAACAATTTGTATTACATCCTATTTAATTTTGGACAAAGACTTCGAATTCAATATTTTCGAGCGTTACAGGAGCAGCGCGAATCCGACCATGTGACGTGCGCTGAAGAAAAAGGCTATAGCAGGGGTGCCCGGGTGCACAATCTTTTTGCTATTGGCGGCCACATTGCATTTATTTGTATTAAATACGGCCTCAAGGGGGTTGATGAGCGCGGTGGAGGCGCGCGAATTTTTTGCTTTTATGACGTCCTGACCGCGTGTTTGACCCATGTGAAGTGCAGTCTGTCCAATTATAAAGTATGTAGGACTACTTGGAAGTATAATATTCGCATTTTAAACGAATTTTTCTTTTTGGTAGACCTATTCTTGAGCAGATATATTGCAACATATTGCATAATGGTTGCACAATTTTGAAAAAAAAATCGAAAGTCGGGGAGGGGCGGGGGCGTTCGCCCTTATTTTCTTGTGCCTAAAAGTATATTAAATATCAAATATTTTATTGATTCAATATCAGGCTTGTCATACAAATCAGAGTCAGAATAAAATAAAACTACTACAATTCCGGTATCGGCAATTTTTTTGGTATCGGTATCGCTGAATTAATACCGATATTTCCCGATATATTTACCTTTTTGATATAATCCAGATTGTTTCAAAAGATGAGTTAAATATTATTTTTAATTTATTTTTTGTCTTGAGAGATCGTGAACTATGAGCCATGCATGTCTCACCCCCGCGGGTGGCAACAGGAATAAGATTCACCTGTTTTCAAATATTTCTAGCAGAACTAGTTCATCTAATTTGGCTATTTTAGCTGCCAAATTTTATATTGACATTTTTTAATTCTATTACATATTAATTATGAAGAAATATATCAACACGACACAGAAAAGAGAGCAACTTACACGCCACAGTTTTGAATCATCGGTGGAATTGAAGTCTTTTTATTACAGGCACATGCACTTTTTGGCACGGTTACAAATTCTGACGGTTTATCGTCAAGCGCGCAGTGTCATTTAGTCCATCGACATCATTAAGCTAAATTCCGACGCAATTATCTCTCCACACAGGTATTGAATATTGTGAATATATTAATTTTAATTTTGTTAAAAACACAATTCCTTTATAGATTTATTGATGTGGCCACTTAGTATTATATGTATTATAGGTACTTCTTAGTCGGCGCTGATTGATATCCTCTCATTTTGGTGTACTTTATTTCCGCGACAATCACGATTAAACACAAAATAAAACATTTGCATGTATTCTATATTTTTTTAAACACGAAAAACGATATTTCGAAAGTCGCAATATTAATAATTAAATTGGATCCGGCATATGAGTTTTCTAATTGGACACGAGATTACTAGCGTCAGTGTACAATGCATCCGAATCAATTAATACATCTTGGATACCAAACATCAATTTCTTAGGTGATATATTCTTTTCGATCTGAAATATTGTGTACAATGAATAACGCTCAAAGACCATTGTTTCAACCCGTCTGCCCCTACACAGCACACTTAATTGAGGGTAACAATTACATAGTATCGGAATATCGGCCTTTTTGGTAATATCGGCGTATCGGCATCAACGTTTTTAGCTGGTATTGGATCGGTATTGGCGACGAAAGTGGTATCGGTACATCTCTAGTATACACCATCCAGATTGTGACGCATTGTGTGTCTGACTTTTTTGCAGTGCTTCTGTTTTGCCTCATTCAATATACGCCAGCATAGCCGCCAAATCCTATATTTTGTTTTTTTGTTTATAGGATTTTGTATGTGAACGGCCGCATTATTTATTCACGACGGCCGCAGGTTGTGCACCGTTGGGCTGTAGTGTACTTTGTCAGCGCAAGGTGAGGTTGTGTCTGAACCATGAAACGTCGTTGCACTATCATCAATGCAAAAAATGAAAACACTTCTTGAGTCAAAGCATTTCGTATTCATCTGAGTTCTTTGATTCTTTACAAGTTCTTTGATAAAGCACATATGTCATTGGGGTTTAGATATAGTACATTAATATTATACATGTATTGATGCATATGACATATGAGTCTAAGTGATTCAAGAGTTTTGCTGCACACTAACACAATATATTTCTGTAACGTTTCGTCTGAAAAAGGTCAGAAGGAAAGCAGTTACATGCATATTTAAACAATCAGTGTAAAATTATGGGAGTTATGTATGTTAAATAATCAATAAAATCGGCGAATTCTTGATTAAATAACAGCAAGTTACTGAAATGAAAGTTCATTGATGAGATCTCTGTCTTTGTTTTATGTTTAACAATTAAAATCCAAATTAAACAATAGTAAGTAAAAATAACATGATCTCTTTCAACGAAATAGTAAGTATATTTGTGAGCTTTCGTTAGATCATGGTCTAACTTCTTCAAACAATACAAGATATAACTGTAAATATAGAGATCGCAAGAATTTAATTTATTTTAAAATTAAGTTTTCTATAACTGATTTAGATGCTATGGTAATTTAATCCATATCAACTCCGAACTGTCGGTCTAACTGATGTGGTTGGGTTGAAGTTCGTCTATTTGTGTGGTTTCCTTTGTTTGCTTTTGAACCATGTTTGTTGTATTGTTGCTATTTTTTTGATAGTACTGTTTGTCTTTTGGTTTTGTATTTGCGTTGAAGTCCCTCTCCGTTTGAGTCTTAATCTTTTCTATTGATTCCATGTGGTTGCCCGAGTCTTCATTTTGTTAATCCAGAAATGCTCTTTGTTTTTCCTGTAAAGTTCGTCGTGGGTTAGTGAGTCAATGCCCAGGATATTAAAATCGTCTATATTGTGCCCTTCCTTGTTGAAGTGGTTGGCAACTGGTGTTGGAGTCCCTTTTCGAATATCCCTAAGGTGGTCTGACGTACGAGACTTTAATTTTTTTCCGGTTTCTCCTATGTACTGTTGTTGGCATTTTTTGCAGGTGATTAGGTATATGACATTTTTTGTGTTGCAGTTGATTCGTTTGAAAATTTGAAACTGTTTTCCGGTCGATGTACTTCTGAATATTGAGATTTCGGATGAATGTTGACAGGTCGTGCATCCTTTCTGTTGCATTTTTCAAATCCTTTTGGTCGGTTTCTTTGTGCTCTACTTTCAATTTTGCTCGTACTAATAAATCCCTTAGTGTTGGACATTTTCTGTAGCCTATAATGGGGGGGGGTTGGGGAATATTTTCTGAAGTCGGGCGTCGCGGTGTAGGATGTATTGGTACTTTTGAAATATTTTTCTGATTGGTGGGGGTGGTGTACGAATCGTGACCAGAGGTGTGTCTTCTTTCGTTTTGTCGGCTTTTTTGGTTTCAGTATCGTGGTTCTATCCGTATTTCTTGCTCGCTCTATGGCTTTGTTTAACAGGTGCTCGGGGGTAATTCCTCTTTTTTAGATGCTGCTTGAGGATGTCACTGTGTTTGTTGAAAAATTCGGTAGTTGAACATATTCTTCTAATTCTTATTGCTAATCCATGGGGTATATTCCGGTGTACATGTCATGGGTGGCAGGATGACGGTAATAGATATTGGTGGGTGTCTGTGGTTAGGAGTAGAGTTCCGTTTCTAGTCTATAATCAATTAAGTGGACCATTGTGTCTAAGAACGGTAATTTGGTTTGGGAATGTCAAATGTGAACTTGATTGATGGGTGGTAAACAATAGTATTTAGTGTTTCTCAGTATTGGATAAAGCAGACCAGGAAAATTGTCTGAGTGTCAAATTTAATATTGTGATATTTTGTCTGTTATTAGCATGTCTGGCCATGCATGATCCAATTTTTTAAGAAAAAAAAATATTAGATATAAGAATTGATTAAAACAATAAATGAAAAATTTGTAATTGGTCTAAACTTCCTTAATATTCATCCCTTGTGGCTCATGTGTCCCAAAGAGATGAATGGAATGAAATCAGATTTTATACTTCTAATATGTTCAGTTATTCGGTATTTTAAATGTCTTTCCGTTTCTCCGATGTATTGCATGCCACACTTTTTGCAGCTTATCAGGTAGATTACATTTTCCGAGTTGCATGTAATTTTTTGACGAATACTTATTTTTGCAGTCTTGTTTTTGTTTGTTGCCATTTTTTTTCGTTTCTTCGGAATGTTGGCAAGTACAGCATGATTTTTTGCCGCATTTGAAAAAGCGTGGATTCTTTT